GATCACAAACTGACTGAATTTAAATTATATGGTAGGATAAAAGCAAGTCTGAAACTAAGGTTCTTTATTTCAAAGGGAGGAAATGATAAACTACAGGAAATAGTGCCATGTGCACGTGAATGTACAGAAGACATCAAATTTAAGTCAAATTTAAGCAAAAAAACCAAACCTCATATTTCAAGTTTTCTGGACAGCAAATCGCTGGGAATATGTAAGGATAAATGATGTCCAAATAGATTTTTCTTATCAAGTACTTTCATATAATGTCCCAAAGTCACCTTCATCTCAACAAGTTACTCCAAAGCCGCTTTCTCTTCTTGCTTTCGACTTCACTGCACAAATGCAGCTCCTCTAAACAACATTGAGTCCTTCTTTTCAAGTTTAGATAGATGCGATATTCACATTAGGGGTTCCACGAACACAATATATTCATTAGGAACTCATGAATATTAAAAGATAATAAATTAAAAGTATCATCATTTAAATCACAGTTTGCATTTGAATATATCTTTAGAATAGCATGGAAGTCGGTTGTATTCCGGAGAAAGAAAAGAGAGAGGAAGCCTGCTGGACACATAAGAGGATGGTATACCAGGGTAAAAGTGTAAAATATGAATACTAAAATACATCAGTCAAGGTGACTTAATTACTTTGTAGATAAAAATGTACTTAGTCAAACCTCAATCACTTCAGTTTACCTCCACTTCGAAATAGTATTTTCTTAAAAACAATCAACTACTGATTTTGATGAATACACTATCTGTTGCCTCAGATTTTAAGAAGAAATTTCATTGTTTTAAGTTAGTAATCATATAAACATACCAAAAATATATTTTATTTGCAAATGCCATTAGATTGGAGAGCCTATTTAAGAGTCTCTGGCAAGTTTGTGACTAAATTAAAATATTGAGCCAATGAACTTGAAGATGTCATAAAAAAAAACCCTCAAAGCTCTAATCTCCATTTAGTTTTAACTACAGGAAATTAAAATACTAATGCTTTAATTAAAATTAAATGCTAATTAATCTACACATGTATTTACACGATCCCTGTATATATACATATATAAAATTATATAAATAAAACCAAAGAAAACCTTCCACTAAATAAAAAAAATGTGTATGATTTCATGTTTTTTAAAATTTTTTTGTTGATGTCTTATCACTTTAAGAGTAGCTGTTTCTTCATCTAAAAGAGATGAAGGATTATGACAGGTTAGTAATGCCAGATTAAACTAGCTTAACATTTTTGTAAATGATCACGAGAAAGGTTCAAAAGCTAGAAGTACAATCCACATTTAATAGACTTACTGCAAATAATTTCTGAGGAATATCACACTGGAAATTGAGGCAAAAAATCATAAGAGATAAGCTGAAAACCAGCTGTCTGCATGATTCTTTCCAAGCTAAGTACGTTAACAGGTACATAATGTTTTTAGCATTTTTTAAAATAACTGTTACATTGCATAAACTTTTGAAAGACACACATGATTAATAGGATAGAAAGGCTGAAACAACATTTTACAAAATTCTATCAAAAATATCTTGAGGGGGATTGGGAAACGTTCCTCAGATATTATTTTAGCAGATTGCAAACATCAATGATGTGCTGAGAGCGCACAGAGAAATTATGACCCATGCTAGATAAAAACCTAACACAACAATGCAACCCAAATACTACTGGCTGAAACCTGCACTGTTAAAGGTAATAGAGTCAATGATTTAAGTGGGAACAGGTTCAAGTTATAACATAAAGCCACCTGCCTCCACTAGAGTTTGCAATCAAAGATGGCAAGTTCCAAAGAATTTGCCTTTTTTCACATACCATTTTGCCAGCTTCTCTCTCAAACCATGCTCACCCTCAATCCTGATAAACTGACACAATCTCATTACAGCACTTGACAAATAACTGTTCTAATACAGTATGAAAAGAAAAATATTAATTCCTTACTTCACAAATAGATTGTTATATATGAAACATGTTAAAGATTTATAACTCAGTTAAAGCTTGTTATAGACTACCTAGATTTTCCTGACAGAAGGAGGTCATCTATATGTTTTCTGAAGTTCTAGCACTGTTTTATTATTTTCTGAGTTTTTTACCTCTCTTATACAGTTGGATCAATTACAGCAGTTCTTATGAAAAAATCAAACCAAACAAAACAAAAAACCCACAACAAACCAAAAACCACATTTCTCTCAGGGTGGACTAAGGAAACACAAACCCCTTTTTCACCTCTGTTCTGAAATGTGTTGGTTTGGTGGTTCTCAAAGGGCAGACGCAAGACGCATCAAAAAATAAGAAACACATTGGTACAACTGTCTTTCAGCTAAGAAAAAAGATCTCCTTCCCTTTCTCCTGTTCCCTCCATACTCCAGAATGTTTTGGGGTTTTTTTTGATACTCAGCAAACTGGGTACCACTGTCAAGGCAAACTATTAAATCTGTCTTTTAACTTAACCTATGAATAAATTCAGAATTTCACTCTCAGTTGTGGTTGGGCAGGAAAAGTATCAGAATTTAATACAAGTTCCAAGCAGGAAAAACCACTCCACACTAAGAACTCGTCTACCCTTAGAAACCTCCCAAAACAGTTATTTTGTACAATTTCTTCCAAAATAGCTATTTCAGTGTAAACTGCCTTGTGAACGCACTAATTTCAAAGGAAAAGTGCCTTTTTCTGACTTAGCGTGGTATAAATGTAGTATATCCAAACATTCAGAAGAGAGAAATCTCTTCCCAGAAAAGACTCTTCACATACGAGCTCACACGCAATTAGCTATTCAACAATAATTGTTTTGGTAATGATATAAAGTATAAATTTTGCTTGAGTTGATCAATAATACCAATTAACAGTCTACAAGATGTCCAAAAAATAAAATAAAAAAAAAAATCCTGCGTCACTTCACAAATCTGTCCCCCTATGACATCCCCAGCTGACTTCACTATTATCGCTTTATTGTTTGGCTGCCTCCAGTCTACAACCACAGACCATCTATAACAGTCTGATTCTGCACAAAACTAGTAAAGGAGACTGCAGGTGAACCAGTGCTTGCCTCCCTCCCATACCAACCTCTTGAAGTAAAATAATATGAAGTACTTTACATACAGTGAAGAGATAAAGACATGAGCATGACAGCCGTTGTGAAGAAAGTAATTTTGAATATTAAATGGTATTCACAAACACCACTTCTAAACACATTTTATGGGGTCTAGGGGGATAGCTGCTGCACCTGCTAATCCAATTTTTCATAAATTTTGAATCAAAATAAAATCTGTGGATTTATGAAATATAGAGATTTTTTTAAAAAATTAATTGCAGCAAACGTTTTAAAAGTTGCAAGCAGGTCCCAAGATTACTTTGTGTATTTTCATCTTCCTCTGTTCTTTTGAATATACAATAGAACCGTGCTCTGCAAATCTGTCCTGAGAGATGTGCTGGCACAAAAACATGCAAAGACATCTTGTGGCAAACAAGATTCAAGCAGAAGAATTATTCTCTTATGGGACTGAAAGACTGTTCTCTTCTTCCGTGTAATACAGAAGCAGTTAATCTGTGGGGTTTTTAAAGAGTCACCCTTATGGTCACTTTAACCCTCGTGTCTTAGATGTAAAATAAAGATAACTGAAGTTTTGCATCTTCGTGAGCTGTTTTGAGACTGAAAGAAAAATTAAGTTACAAACTTCCTGTTCCTACCAGTCATTTTTTCATCAGTGAATCCTTTCACTGACTCCCATCTCACTATGTAACTCAAAGATACCATTATTGTCATTTATTGCAGAACTCAACATTACTCTGACACTACTTCTTCTTGTTTCCCACCAACACTCCATCCCACTAATATATCAGCGTTACATTGAACTTCTCATGCTTTCACATTATTTGTCTGCATGCCTGTTTCCTTACCTTGTCTTTCTTATCTTCCACATATTCCTTCATATTTCAGTTCCTGTTGACAATTATTTCTGCATTTTTTCTAGAGGAATTTCAAGTTGACTTACATTAACATGTATATTGACTTTAAAACTCAGAAGAGTACAATTATCTTTTGCGTAGACCTCACAAATCATCACGACACTCACCCTTTGTGTATGTTGCACAACCCAAAGATTGATCTACTGTTTCTGTATTCTTCATATGATTCTAAACTTTTAATATTTTCTGTCTGCAAACTACTTCACCTTTATGGAAGGCTGTATTTTAAACAAACAATTCTTGCACAGAGGAGTGCTCAAAACTCTGCACTGAAAAAGCAATTACACAAAATCATGCAATTATGTTATGAAAGTTTCCATTCTGTATGATTTTTCTTCTAAAGCTCTGATTCTTCCCTTTGGAAATTTGCATGTCAGACTCACCAACCATAAAAAGAAAGTACGGAAAACACCACATCAATAACAGATTCCTTTCCTGCTTTAAATCCCTTAGAACAAGAAGAAATGACCAGGTAGCATTAACACTACTTACCATACTTTCACAAGACTAGAAAACTTAAATGATTTTGTTTTTTTTTTTCCAATAGAATTAGAATCTGTGTAGTAATCTTTTGGGTCAGCTCTCATGTATGAATCTGTGTCTATTTCACGGTCACATTATTGTACAGACTTTCCTTTAAGCTACTGTCAATTTGAAAAAAGTGGCGGTAGTAGATTGAGGAGTTTGTGTTTTTTTAAATCCATATTAAATAGTTCTTATACTATTATATATTTCATCAGTTGGAATAAGTTAGACTGAAAAAATGACTATGACATGACAATGTTATACAGTGAATTATAATGGGGCTTCTGTATAAGCATAAGATATTCTCCCCTACTTTAAAACCTTTTTCATCACAGTTCTGATGCAGTCCATAATTCAACTGCAGTAATACGGTTAAAACATAAAACTGTAATTAAAAATCTCAGGCCTCTCTCTTCACAGGAAATAATCAAGTACACTGAAAAAAAAAAAATAGTATAATTAAAATAATATCTAACTGCAAAGAACATAAAATAAGGCTACTAACCCACAGCATGAACTGTTCCTCTATGCTTCTTTGAAATCTTGTTTGCCTTAACTATATGTAGAGCATTTTCTTTGAACTGCAGCTCACAAAGTCTTTCAAGAAGAACTGTCATTTCTTCAGTGATGGTATCCAGATAAGTTTCATTAATAAACTTCAATGATGATGAAGGATCAATAGTTCCACTTAGTATATACAAATCCTCTTTTATCATTGTGCACAATGTGGGTATGGAACTTTGGTAACCATGTACCACCTTATCAAAATTTGTTTCACCACAACTAGACAAAATGCAGTTCTGTAGAAGATCGCTAACCAGTTTATTCTGCATACTTTGATACTTTGTTAAGACTTCTGCTTCAGGATAAAGAAACAAAAGTTGCTGTATGCACTGAGTTTTAAACTCCATTTGTTGTTGTAAAGCATTAGTATTTGTTTCTTCTTGATTTTGCAGTCTATTCACCAAAAATCGTCGAAGATGCAATCTCACATCATCCCAAAGAGATTTCGCATCCATAGTTGAATCATCCTCAATGGCATGAAGGGAAGATGTTAACTCAAAAGACGTCCCACTTGGAGTACAGGGAAATGACACACCACACTGACTAGAGAGATCCAGAAGGAAGTGAAGTATCATTTCTTCTTGATTTTGTTCATTCTTCAGCAAGCTTTGCTAACAAAGGTAAATCAGAAAGTATTTCAGAAATGTTTTGTTAATTCTGGTTCATAAATTGAACAGCTTATGCTAGAACATCAGTTGTTTCCAATGTTAATTAGCTTACCAGCAAAAGAGAGACTCAAATTGCTATATAAACAACAGAAATAACAAAGTTTAAGATTTCCCATGTATTTATGCGCCAATCCATCTTCTTGTATACCTGTTCCAATAACTCTCATTCCTCTTCCCATCTTTCTTACCTCCTCAACCTCTTTTCTCAAACGATTCTAACCCACAAGTCAAAGCAAAGCTTTGGAAAGCTCACTAGGTAAAGATTGTTGTGGTCCACACAGACATCTTTAAAAGAAAATCGTATGAAAAATTACTCAAGATTTAAACAGACAATGACAGATTTTGCTCCTAAACCAAGACGGGAATTTATAAAGTGAAACATTGGTGCTTTCTATGTTCTGGCTCAGCAGGCAACCATCAAAAAGACCACTCTAAAGATAAAATAATCTTCCCAGGACCCCATTAAAGAACTAAAATTGAAAACTCGTTAAGAATTCAACCGGCTTAGATCACACAGGACAAAAAGAATCAGCAGCTGTGTATCCTCTCAAACCGAGATGCAGACTGATACGTGAACATAACCTCTAAATACATCTCAGGTGCATGGGTTGGAGAAAAAGAAGTCATTTAACAAAGCAGGTGAAACCACATGGATGCATGTGCTGTTCCTACTTCATCCAAGCCTGATGAGCTCCTGCTTGGTCCAGGGCCAGGATCTCTGACTTTAGAGCTACTTTAAGTTCAAGAGACCATGCAGCAAATAGCGGGTCCTCTTATTGCAGCTGAATGCTTTCTACTTGGCCCGGAATGACACAAATCTAAACAGCACTCTGCAGCTTTCCTTAATATGTATGAGGTGAATCATTTGCACGAACAAGGCATGTCCAACGTAGAAGACAACCCCAAAATCCCATAGTCACTGGACACCAAACCCTCCTTCTTCTCTGTGACAGTGTGCTTCCCAGCTCCCTACCTGACGTGTTCCTGATGTGTCTGGTTACGATGGCCGCATCTGGCTCAAAGTGTATCCAGAGGAGACAGACAAAATCACAACAGCCATGGGCTAATTTATAGTAATAGGCCCACCTGGCCACAGTGCTGGTTGGTGCTTGACTCAGTCCCCATTTGGAAGAAACTGGCATCTGTAGTCAGTATGCAAACATGACTTCAAGTCAATCACCTTGCTCCATAAAGAGTGAGCAGCCCAGGAGCCACTGGAGCTCTCCTGCATGGCAGCAGGCTGCACGCCAGGACAGCCCCTTGAGTAACTCTCTCAAGATTACTGCTCAAGGTTGAGAGATTCCTTGCTGCAACAGATCCTGGCAAAACTTTGAAGCTTCTTTAAGACTATATCTTAAATTGATTGTGCACGTATAAGCCTTCAGACATAAACTGTTGACCAAGACTGGGATGAGGACTGGATCCAGCTGTACCTAGACTCCTCCCTGAGAAGGAATTTTGAAAGCAAAGGGGTCCAGGCTGAACCTTGTGACTCAATGAGAGGGTCTCCCTGACAGTTTTGTCTGACCTTGTCCTGTATGCAGTAAATAATCCACTGTATCTTGCCCTCAAATCTTGTTAAACCACTACCACATTTACCTTTGAACATTCTTAACTCACTGTCTTACATCAATAAAATTTATTGCTGCTTCTCTCTTAAGAGTGAAGTGCTTCACTCCATTCACGATGCTGTCTCAGAGAAAAACACTTGTGTGTTATAAACCCACTTCCCACATCCTCAACATTTTTCCTGCTGCAGACTGGCTTTGGCCACAACAGTCCTAAGCCTAGCAACCTTTTATTTGTAAAGACCTGCTCACAATCCTCCAGCTGCACTAGAGCTGACTACAGAGTTCCTCACGACAGTCACAAGAAAAGCTAAGTGAAATTGGTGGTACTCTGGATTTTCTAGGTTTTGGGAACCAAGCAGGCAAGCCTTAAGTGAATCAGGATCTAGAAGCCCTCTCGCTTGCCACCCCACCTCCTGTTGCTTCCCTCCAACAGAGAAAAGTGTTGTGGTAAATCACATGAGAGTAGTCCTTTCCACTCATGTCCTTTATCTGGGTCTTCCAACTATACTCCATCCTATGAAGCAAGGTAATCTTCCACCTTCAGAACTATTGATTTATTTAACCTAAAATATTTGAGGAAATGATTAGTTTTATTTCTTTTCCCATTTTGAAAGATAGAGAAAGAAATAAGATTTGAGTATGGTATTGCTTAAACATAAAAATTTCCAAATACAAAATGTTCACTTTTTTACTGTAGCAAGCTTTCACCAATAGATAATTTATAAAAATATAAAAAAAGACAAAATTTAGAGTAAAAACTGCAGTGGGCTTCCCCCCTCATGCTTTTGAGTCACAAAAATTTTCAATACCAGAACTCCTAGTATTTGTTCTGCATGATTCAAAACTGTTGCAGTCTTACGGGACAAAACAAGAGCTTAACCTTCCTTTTGCCCTTCACTCCATAGTGCTCCATGATGAAAATTGAAAAATCAAAGACTTGCATCCCAGTATCTAATTCTGAATGAAATACAGAGAGCAGGATCACCTCTCATAAAGGAATGTCTTAAAAATAACAGCCTAGCTGTTTTTCTTCCATTCTACGTCTTTATTTCAGAATGCTTCCTGTGAATGTTTTCTTGCTTAAAACTACAAAACATAGAAAGATAAAGTAAGTTATCGGTCAAATCTCATCCTATAAAACCATGTGCATGTGATAGAAATATGTACAACTAGTCAAAACTGTAAATCGTACACATCAACATGCATGTACATAAGGCCAATTTGATTTTTTTTTATCATCTACTGAAGTATTCTAAAAAGTTTTGTGGCCTCAAAGAAACTGTGTCTCGTGTAAATTAAAACTCTAATCACTAACCACTGTGTTGAAGAGTTGAGTCTCCATAGGTGGAGTTCCAGAGTTTAAAGGTTAATTTTTTAAAAAATCATGCTCAAATACTATATTCTGAAATGAAAAAAAAAATAAGGCAAGCTCTCAAAACAGTGAATGTCACTGATGATTTTGGATGATGAATCCAAAATGTCTTCTGAGCAAATCCCTACTACTGTTTTTCAAGGTTAAGCAGAAACATTTTTATTCATGAAAGCCACTAAGAATCTAAGTATTGTTTCGAGCCCTTTGCAACTTGAAGCATTAAAAACAGGGAGCTTGCAGGTGCCATCTTAGACTTCAGTGTTACTCAGAAAAAGAGCCCCCGAAGTGAACTTTGAAGATCTGAGAACATAGTGTCATCAAGTCTCTTTGAACATTGCCTGTACTGACATAGGCTTTTCTATTTAAAAATTAACCTGTAAAAACACTTTGAAAGATGATGCCAAAACTATTAAAGAGAAAAAGATACAAAATAGTATCCAAAGGGTTTACAGAAGTATGTAAAGCTCTCTTATGTGCACAGAAAGTTAGTGACAATAATATACAGGAAAACATTTGCGGTCAACCAACTGGACTACTACCTACCATAGACTACTCCCTATCATACCAATAAACAAATTCAATAAGATGAAGATTTTGTTAAAAAAACCCCACTAATTTGTCATTAGTTTAACAGGAAAAAGAACTTAATGAAGATGTGTTCATGTACATATTCAGCTTTTAAGTGTTTAGAATTAGAAAACAGTGCACAGAATGATCAAATTTCACATAATTAACATTTTCAGGTTTCATGAAGAATCTGAGTGTTTCCATAATGCATGAGAATACCATAACAATAAACCTAAACAAGCACTGCAGCCAAAGCACATACAGCACTACTTTGATAATTGTTCTAGCAGCTTAAAAGATAAAAAAAATCCCTAACAAAATAAACAAACATAATAAGGGATAACAATGAGCAGAGATATTGTCCAGAAGTAGAACGAAGGTTACTATTACTGAAGATGTCTTATATGGTACTTAATTAAAAGCTTGCAAGCAAGAAATTAAGTCAACTGAGTAATTAGTTCAATGGATGGAGAAACACATTTTAAAAAGGTCAGATCATAATAATCTCATTAATAACGAGTATTATTGAAAATAGTTTACCGCGGACCTGTTTATGGAGCTAAAGATTATCTACTGCAAGTATAACTTCTTACAGATGGATTGTCTATGCTCCAAGTTCCTGAGCTCCACAGATGTTTTCCTGATAAGCTGTGCAGAATTGAGACTTCAAGGCTTCTCACACTCTGCTGTCTGTTTAGCAGCCTGACACAGAGCCATTCTCAAGGCTTAACTGGACTTCACAGCCCACAGCCAGACTGCCTTCTAGTCAGTAAGCACCTGGGAAGCTGAAGAGCTAGAAAGCTTATTTGTATAAAATATACTCAAAGCATTCCAGAGATGGGGATATTTTGGCGTTTCCCAAACAAATGCCGCCATCTGGTGTTCAGGTATATGGCTTGAATAGACCTTGGAGAAGGAAGAAAGCAGGGAACAGACACAAGTCAGTCGTCATTGCCATGCCCTCTTCTGAGGGGTTTTAAGTAAGGATCTAACTGGACTAAGAGGAACAACAAAAGACTTCATACGTCAGCATTTTCTGAGATTCTCTCATTTTTCTAGATCAAGTATGCCATGTAGCAGTCTCTGACACCCTGGAGTGGGGTGATTATTTACAGCAACATTCATACTGATCACCTGAGACAGATGGGGACAAAATCATTTCTTCACCACACGAACATTCCAGACTTGCTGTTTCTAGAGATGACTTCCTCATTTGACACAGCTTATTATCCAGTGGACCCAAGGGTGACTAAAAGATCAACAACCAATTTTGAGAGCTAAAAAACTGAGAGGCGATTTGATGAAGCTTGAGCTCTAGCCAAGAGATAGACTCAAAGGAGAAAATACTCCACAGCAATTTTCCTCTGCCAATACAGTCAATCTTAGCCTAAAGGTGTTCACGTCCTACAACTAAACCATCACATGGAAGAGACAAAGAAAAATCCACTGGGTATTGTTTATTTGTTTTGACACATACATGTACATCATATAAACATACATATCCATAGTTTATATATAAACTTCCAGGCTGCCATTTACTGAGGTATCATACTTCACTTACCTAGTCAATTCAATTTTTCAGACTTCCATTTCCATACATATATTCTTAGGTTAACTTTTAATAAAAAGTTTTGCAAAAATGCCTTCTAAAGTTACAGAATTTTTCATTGAAGTGAAATTTGATTTCAGGTTACAGCTAGTTGTACAGCTTGCTAGGACAATGGCTGCAGTCCCACATTTCTAATTAGAACAAGTAGATAGGAAGTTAATGCTTAAATAATGCATGAAGGACATCAACTGTATTGGACAAGTTAAATTCATACTGATACAAGTGAAGAACGTGCAGTAACAGTAACAGCCTCAGTGTAGACAGTAACTTCAGATGTTTTTTACCAACATGTGTTTATAAAACAGTCCTAGCAGTAATGAACATGTGGTAACATCATGAAGAGATTTTGTCCCAAGTTTGTCTGTTTAAGGCATGATCAAAAGGAAACATAACCCCCTGTTGTAGACATATAAACAGTACTAAGTCTTATATTAAAATTTCTGAACGCTTGTCACCATAGTGAAGACTGAAATGAAAAAAACTAATTAACCTCTTAAAAAAATCCCCACTCATCATATAACCAACCTTCCCAAACATTAAAGTCTTTAGTAAACAATTTTTACCAGCGTCCTAAGGAACTCCATCAGCTCTCCATGGTGTGTAGAAGAAGGTCTGAGAGAACTAAAATTGCAGTTGTTTAGCCACTGAAGGCAGTCAGTTGTGCTTTGTAGTATTTCATCGGTACATATGTCATTCACTTCTGATTGCAGGTCTTTAAGACACTGTTCTATGCTAAAAACAAAACAAAACAAAACAAAAATCACAGGATGTTTTTCATGACTTGGAGATAAAAGCATTTTATATATTCCATATTTCAAAAAGAAAAACTATTTCAAATTAATGTTAACAGTTCTTCTTCTTCATAGATTAAATTACTCTCACAAAATAAGGCCTGACTTTGTGGGATTAACATCTAAATACAGTTGAGCTAGAGCTAAAATAAATTTCCTTCAGGCCAGAGAGTACCATCCTCAGTAAGAGTAAGTACTGCCTCACTTCTCAAACAATCTTATACTTCCTGATAAAGTAGTTAGTGAATATGACATCATCCAACCTCAGATCTGGTCCTTGGTGCTTAGTTAGCTAAAGTAAAGAAAATAAATTGAATCAACTACAATATTCAAAGGTGCATGTGTCATTTTGGTCCTTTAGCAATCAGCAGTTGTTTTATAATACATAACATATATCAACGACTTCTTAAAGACCCATTGACATCACAGAAGCACTGAAAAGAATTTGAGAGTCAGCTGTGCTGAAAGCAGATCTTTTCTTTCTTGTTTTTGTCATTTGTTTAGAATATTTGAAAGAAAACAGAGTTTGGTTTCAAGGAGGTGATCCACTCCGTAACATTAATCTAGAATCATAATTCTGCTTAAGAAATTAGATGTTGCTGGTACAGTTATTACAGGGATTTCAGCTGTAAAAATCACATGAACAAATGAATAACCAAAATTATTTTATTTCTATTTGTGAGGACAGTTACAGAAAAAAAAAAAATCCAGAACAAATCTAAATCCAAATCTTTTCCTACAAAAACACCTTTTCAGTACTTCAGAACTACTTTTCTTAAAAAGCAATGCTTAATATTTTACGTAGTTTCAGTTAGAAAAATACTATCGATTAGATCTAGGCAGGTCTAGGTTTAATACAAACAGGGCTAACAATGTGACTGATGCCAGTTTCGGTTTATTGAAGTGCAAAGTGATTCTCACTACTATTTGAATTTCATTTTGAAGTATATTAGTTACTCCATTTGTGTTCTTACAGCTGATAAGGGCTGCAAGTTTTAACACAAATTAAAATTTAGTTCTTTCTGTCTCTGTAGATTTACGTAATGAGATGAGACTCAGCTCTTTAAAGGTATTTCAATGTGAGATACTTTTGATCATATTACTTTCTGTTTTCATTACACCAAGCAAACAACAAACTTGCCTATTATATTGCCACTTGCTTCTCTATTTTACAGAGATGAAGTATGGATCTTTTTCTTTAACTGCTCTCTAACATTTAAAACTTGACTAGTTTTGGCAAAAGAAGACAAGAGAAGAAGATTAGAAAAGAGGACAGGACGAAGAGAAAAGGAGAATGAGAGGGAAGAAAATAAACTGGAAAACAAACCAAATTTGTACGTGTATTACAAGCCATGACAAAAATACCAATGTAAAAACTTCTAGTTTTGAAAACAAAACAAAATATGATTTTTTTTTAAATTAGTAACCTTAAATAAAGTTTTAAATTTTTTCTGTATAACTTCTCTGTGTGGAAAGATTCATTTTCCATGGATATCTTCTTTTTGAAAGCAAATATTTTTATTAAAAATATATTTTGCTTTCAATATGAAATTTGAAAAAAAATATCTTAAACACTAACAACCCATATCAATTTGTAACAAGAAATCAGGGATGAAAGGCCATACTGCGTATTACCCACTGACTATACCTCCTCGTTTAGTCTGCCTGCAGTACTGTTTTCAGGATGTAGAAGAAGCATTTATTTGATTTTCTGCTGGATTTTCTCCTTTATTGAGTGATTTGCATTTTATTCTTTTACAGATGTTATGCAATGTACCCTAAATTCTTACTTTCTGTCTCATTATGATCAACAGCAATAAAGTAAATCAGTGTCATCCATACCTTTGGGAACCGAGTCTGTTAGTTTGAATTGACATTTAAAAAAAAAACAGCGGAAAAGAATAAGCAAATGATCACATTAAATTAAGCTCAGAGATAAACGGTAGCCTGCATTTTCCTTTTAAGTTACCTACAACAAGCACAAAAGAGAGAAGTGCATTTTTTCTGAGAATGCTGTGAAGATTTATCATCTATGATAGGTTTCACTTTGTGCCTTTTGTTTCTTTAAATTACAGTATTAAATAATAAGCTGACTATGAAAACTCCATCAACTACAATTACAGAATGCAAAGACAATCATAAGAATATAAGTGCAGAGGTGTAGCATTTTTAACGTCAGAAAAAAAAACACACCATAAATTGCTTCCAAAACTATGACAATATCACTTCTAAAAACAATTTCATCAAAATAAGCAGGTCATTTTGAACAGCTTATTTTCCTATATTTAATTGTATTCATTAAGAATGATGTGTTTATCTGTTTTATGCTTAAAAGACATCAGGTAAACCATTCAAAGTGTATCTACCAAAATGAAGTCGTCACATTTTAGATCTGCATGTTCTTCAGAAACCAAATTCAGTAACTACAACTAATGCTAAAACATATAAAAACTTTTAAAACTCATGAATACATGGGTGGCCTGTAAAACACTTCCATAAAATTGACGCAAGTCTTAAGACTTTCCTGAGCATGACTGAGTTCAAAATTAATTGCACTGAAACAAATATCTTCCCATCATCAAAGGACCTTATCAGGAGCAAAAAGGACCACCATGAAAAACAATCCCTCTCTGCCTGTGGCCCACTCATGTTCCTGATGGGATAGCCCAGCCATGAATACCAATTCTAAACTCGACAAAAGATTGGCATGTATCTTTTTAACTTGAGAAACCTGTTCTCAGGGCGATGAAACCAAATGCCTTGTTCATACACCTTGACTCCTGGGACAACAACAAAGGCTTTTATTGTGGTGCGCTGATGTGCCTCATTCAATCATACCCAATAGATTACAGCATAGTGCAGTGTAAAGGGACTACTGTTGTTAGTCTGTGGCAATCTGCCTCAATTAGGAACTAGTTTTTACACTCATCTTTGACACAGGAATCTGTGTGCAAGCCAATAAACTACAAGCTATGAATAGGCTACAGCTTTCTCAAGACCAGATATTTCGGTGATTTGTCCCAACACTGATAAGGGGATTAGATGGATAAATTTCAGTGGCTCTACCTGTAGGTACAAATCATGAAAAGTCTGTTCGTTTTATTTAATCCTTTTATTTCAACGAAGTAAACATTGAATTGGATAAAAATATTTTCATCCTGCTTACTTACAGCACAGGTAGCATGCTGTCAACATTTAGTATTATATGAACATGGTTAATTATAGATACGTACTCCTTTACATTAATTACATCAATAAATGAAATATGTAGGAATTTTGTTATCACTGAAAAAAACCAACATTTTAGTGTGTATTATCTGACTTTAGAAAGCAATCATTTTAAATAAAAGACGTCTGCCAAATAGGATTAAAAATTAATTCTCACTATGTAGGCTAGTATTTAAAACTATAATTTTACATAGTGTAGGGAGAACGAGACTTTGATTTCCTTTTTTAGAAAGGGAATTTGCCAAATTTTTAAAAATGTATATATTATATGTAGGTATATACATGTATATGTAATTTCAATGTGAAAAATGTTCTTAATGTAGTTAATGAATTTTATTCTTAAAAGTACAATTACAAAATGCCCTATGAAGTGCTAAATTCCTCTTTTTTCCCCCCAGATAATCTTTTTTCATTAAGGTTTAACTGCAAATATATTTTAGCAAGTTCAGTGCAGTAATAAGCTCCTCTTTTTTGAACAAATTGAGGCATCAACCTCATGTCAACTGACACTACACACGTACAACAGGAGTGCAAATTGAATTAAAATCATGTGCAGTCAATGGAAAAATACAACCATGTCTGTGCAACTCTGTCTAAATCAGGAACACAAGATCTGGAGTACAACAGGGAAATCAGACATAGCTCAGTATTTAATGCTTTTTCTTTATTTACTATCATTAACTGGTTCTGTGCTCCATATGTATGTTTTCTGAAACATTCTCTGAAACTATAAACCTTAATGATAAGGTGAGGGATACAATTCAGGTACCAATGCTGAACCTAACCAGAAGGTGCTTAACTCTTCTGCTGCAAATTAGCTTACTGGTACCACATTAGAACAGCTGTTCCTGGTCAGATGTTTCTGACAGTGGTCATTAGGAAATGCCAAAGAATTAAAAAACTCAAGACAAAAAACCAAAAGCTAAGATTTCTCAGAATATTTTCATCGTCTCTAGCAGTTGGTGACACAAGGACCTAGATCAGATAGTGTCCTAGTATTTAACAGACCTCAATTAATTTTTCTCCCACAGATAATTCCACTTTTGTTTGAACCTGTGGAACTGTTCAGGCACAAACAGAAAAAAATCGCCACCAAACTGCTAACAAGAAGAGGACTACAAAAGCTCAAAGAAAAAATTAACCTTTTTCTGTAGCAAAGAAATCTGATAGTTATGCTTATTTAGATTTTTGTATAATTGACTGATTTTTCAAGAAAGAAATCTTTAGTCCCACACAAAGAGTATCTGGAGCCTTTGTGGGCACATCAATGCTTGTAGTTAGTACTACTAGTATACCATTACGCCAGTGAAAATTATTTCGCTGAAATAGCTTCTCCTTTTTAGAGGTGAGAGGGTTTGGGTCTTGTTTTAAACACCAAGCAACATTCTGTTATGCTATCTGTGTCTACAATGGAGTTCTTTTCTGGAGCAGAATGTCAATACCATTTGGTAAATCTGAATTTGAGAAATCCTAGGTGCTCTTATTTATTAAGTTAATGATAGCTTTTAGGAATAACCTAATCATGTGGAGAGACTGCTTTTTAAGTGGCTGCATCAATGGACAAACAGTTACAAACCACGTACTGTAACGGAACTGATAATGTAAGCACTGTCATACTGATACGTTATTTTGAAAAGCGCAGTATCAAAATGAGGGTTACTGTCTCCATATATCATTTTCCATTGCCTAAGATTACTATGAGTAAGTTGAAGG